TCTATCTATCTATCTATCTATCTATCTATCTATCTATCTATCTCTATCTATCTATCTATCTATTTATCTATCTATCTCTGTGCGTGTGGGTGTGTTTCTGTCTGTGTGTGTGCGGGTCTTGACGAGAAGCCACCTGGTGCAAAAGAGGAGTTCCAGTGTCCAAGTACGCCTACTGGAGAAGCAGTTGGACGGCCTGGTGTGGCATGGGCAGCCTACTGGTTCCACAAGAGGCAATTGGAAGCTTATCGCTTAATTGTGAGACCAGTCTCCCAGCAGAGTGGTCTGAGCTTGCTGGTCCCTGATCTAGAAGTCCAGGCCTTGGTGTCAAAATGGCCTGTTCGATTGTTGGCCTCTTCATCTGTTGCATGGGAAACAATTGCTACCATAATCATTGCAGAAGACTTTCAACTCCCTGTATCCCCCCTTGTTGAACTTGTAAAAAAAAAAGAAAAAAAAAGGGAAAAGGTAGCCCCTTTATTACTGCTGAAATGAGGGGCATGTAAACGATGTTCAGCATCCCTTACATCGTTTACCCACACAACAGCTTTCTCCGTTATGGGCAAGAAATTCTGAGACAGCGGCAATGATTGCTCCTGCCCCTCAGAGGATTAACCGCTGCTCACCCCTGTTCTTGTCTCTGCCTACTCTGTCCTCACTGTCAGTTCTGACTAATTAACTTACACTTTGCTACCTTGTTACTACTCCTGCTCGAACCCCTTCTTAACTATTTGCTACCACCTTCCCTTACTTCCTCCCCTCCTAATACTTGCCTCATATAACGCAATGCTCCCCCTTGTCTACCTATCTACCCTTCCTTTCCTCTTTGCCCTCTTGTTCCTTCCGAAGCTTCCGATATGCACTTCTGTCTGATCTCCATCCCCTGCTCTCTTAAGCCACCAATACATGGCCCCAACCAAGTTGAGAATCTGATTGAGCCTCTCCTAAAATTCCGGAGTCTCGGAACATGGCGTATGGAGGGCCAGTAGAAAAAGAAGTTGCCCCATGCCATGGATTGGCACCAGGCCCAGCCCTGACCAAAAACAAAAAAAAAATCCGCCTGCCCCCAGGCGGGCCCTGCCCCGAGTTCCCTATCTTTTTGGAGAGGCTCATTCAAACTCTCGAGATGTACTCGCGGTTTAATGATGGCCTGATGTCCTTCTGGTGATTGACTCTTCTCGAGTTGAACTTGAGAGTGTTTTGTGCCCTCTCTGCCACTTTGCCTTTTGCTAAGGTCCCCTTTTCCAAAGTTCTCTCTTATCCCTTTCGCCTCACCTGGTCTGTCCCTCATTTTTTTCCTTTGTGCGTTTCCACTGAGAGCTAGTATGTCTGTTTCTAGCAGGGTTCTGAGCTCTTCTTCCGCTTCCCTGATGTGGGTCTGTCTTCTGTCTATTGTGATCTGACATCGTTCGTGTCTTCCATAGTGTCCACATTCCATATTGACGTATCTCTTCGAAGCACATAGCCAAGTCACTTTGCGGCAACCTGCTGTCATCCCCCTTCCCCAGTGACCCATCGACTAAATCGTTAGGGACAGGCCACCCAGTTGTTGATCTTGCTTTGCCTTTCCTGCCATATTGTAGAAAGCATGTTGATCCAAAGTCTGATCCTGGACTTCAAAGGATATCCTGTCTGTGGGGATGAAAAAAATATGCCATAAGATCCCTCAGCTATTAGATCATACTTTCGCTGGGCATCTTCAAAAATCCCTTTCTCAAGTTTCGCTTGAGTATGGGCGGCTCCTCTTTACTGCTCTGCGGGACTGGGCCCTTTGGAAAGAGCTCAGATGGAGCCAGGGGTGGAACCTAATGGAGAAGTGTTGGCTTATACCCAAATCTATTGATGCTGTAGCGGCTGTACCAATCTCAACATCTCCAACCATGAGGCTATTCCTGTGTTGACTACCAGCAATTTTTTTTTTGCAACAGTGTGGTTGGAGGTTGGGGTCCCAAGACTTTGATCGCTGATGGAAAATGCCACGACGCGCTAGGAACAGCTTGAACCCCGATGTATTGGAAATTGGGGTTCCAAGACTTTGATTGCTGATGGAAAATGCCACGACGTGCTAGGAACAGCTTGAACTCTGATATATTGGAAATTGGGGTGCCAAGCCTTTGATCACTGATGGAAATGGCACGATGCGCTAGGAAACCAGTATGATACAATGATGGCTACTCAGGGACTGCGGGACCACCACGGCGGCCAGACTTTAGTTGCACAGCCCACCTCGTCACATCTTCAAGTGATGGCCCCTGTCTGTATTCTATGAACTGACTCTCACCAGGGTGCTGATGCTGAAGTGCCCACCTTTCTCCTTGGCTACTCCCTCCCTCGGTGGACCTGTTGGCAAGCCCGTATAATTGTTGGCCCGGATGATGCATCCCTTGCTGAGCAACTTTTCCTACTTCATCACCACTCGGTTCAATTTGTCCACTCCTGCCTGCCTATTCCTCTCTGCGTGTTCAGGACTGGGAAAGAATGAGAAAATGGAGAAATGCAGCCTGGCTCTGGTTTGCTCCTGCGGGCTTCCCTCTTCTTGACACGCCACAGAGACCGAGAAAATGGAGAAACGCAGGCCGCCTCTGGATGGTGACAATGAGCTCCCCTCTTCTTGACAACGAAGTCTTGCAGAAAAACAACTTCTGGTTTCACTGCCTGTGCCTGAACAGGCCGGTCTTCTTTCTTGAAATGCACATTTTGCCGTGCCAATGGGCCTCGCGACAGTGGGGCGACACCACTGGAAGAAAAAAAAAGTATGAGCGCATCTTCTGCAGAAAGTGGCAAGATGATGCATCCATTGCAATTCATAGTAGATGCGCTCATACTTTTTGGGTTTCGACAGTGGTGTGGCAGGGCCCCATGGGTAAGATGGTTTTCACATGCAATGATGTCTTTTCGTGTTGCCCTTTTTTCGCTTCCGTTTTTCTGTTCTGTGGAAGATCTGCAACATCTGATGGGGCTGGATTGTCACATCTGGGTAGCTTTCTAGGAGTGGTCGAATGGCCAAACTGTCATGCCTTCTTCATTTTTCTCCGAACTTTGGACATCCTCTCTTTGGGTAAGAACCCCAAATCATGGTTGTGCTTTACAATCTATTAGACTGTGGGTTTGGCTCCACCGACCTACTTTGGGTAAGAACCCAAAGTATTTCGGGCTCCATTGCTTTTCACGCAACTTTTTTGTCCACATATGCCATGCCTGATTCGACGTTGTTTTTAGTTCAGCATGATGGAGCGCATCTGGTGGGCTCTTGGCAGTTCCTCAAATCGGAGACTGCTGAAGGCAGTCTCTTTGCCCAAAAAATTTCATTGACGTCAATTCAATGCATTGGACCTCAATCTTGTTAAATGTGAAGTTCGTTTCCACGGATTCTCAGCAAATTTTGCTGCTGCTGGGGGCACCCTTTTTGTAATAGCAGCGTCCAGTACGGTAGGTGGAGCCCGACTTAGAAATACAGTAGGTCCACCCCACTTTTTGGGGAAAATCCCCACAGCAGTCAAGTGGAGCCAAACCCTGTTTTCTCTTCTTTCTTTTTTTTTTCTTTTTTTTCTTTTTTTTTTTTATACAAGAAAACAACCCAAGATGATGCTAGGGGTGCTGATAAGAGCAGACACCACTAGCAGTCTCGGGACAGCTCCATCTATTGGTGGGGAGCAACACCTGCTGGAAAGCGGCCCCAGCGTCCCAGATCATGTGTAATTGAATGTTTGAACAGTTGTAAATGCGCAGGCACGCGGTGATGCACAGCATTGATTGCCATCGAGCAAGGGGATTGACTGCCCATCAAACCCTAGGACCCTTACCCTGCCTTATTCAACTACTATACGGATACAGTAAGAAGGGGAATGAACCGGACAAGGTTTGGTTTCTACTTCTGCAATTTTCTACCCAGTGTTGCCAGCGCATGTGTCTCCCCTATAACAGTAATTAACAAAACCCACTCAAGTGGGGAGAGCACCAATGCAGAAAACAAAATTATAGGAGGATGAAAGAGCAGCAAAAAGTCAGATTAGACATCTACTCTTCCGCCCTCACCACGTGGCCGGGACCAAACGACATGCCCTAGGAGCAACCAACAAACCCTAGTGACATATGCAACAGCACCTCTTCCCCCCCCACCCCCGGCCCGCCACATGGCAGATACTTGTGATCATTGTGATTGGTGTGCACATCAAAATTCGTACTGGGCAAACGTCGATCGAAACAAGACAGGCGCAAATATGACAATATTACCTGTCAACAAAACCCAACTGGAAGTCCTATCCCTACCCCACTCCTTCTCGCCATCACAGTGCGCCTTTCCACACCCCCCATTCAATAAGCGGCGGCCAGAACAGAGAAGAGAAGGGGGCAAGAGGAGAAAAGAGCCGTCCCCCGTCCCCCGGCGCACTCACGGCGTTATTGTTGATGTCGATTTCGCCAGTCGCCCTGTCGATGATTCGGTCGTTGCTGTAATTAGCAAGTAGTATGAAAATAAAAGATGAATTAGTAATTACTAATTCATCAATGAATTACCCTTGTCTTGTAATTGCTCTTATTATTGTCGTTGTCGTCATCAGTATTGTTGTTGTTGTTGTAGCTGATGGTACCGCCGATCTCGCCAGTGTCAAAATCCTCGTTACCAAAACTGGCGGCCTCTGCGATAGCGTTGATGTTGTTGTTGACGTTGTTGTTGTTCTTGTTGTTGTCATCGTTATTGTTGTTGTTGTTGTTGCTGCCTCTTTCATCAACACACGACCGTGAGATCACATCGACAACAACGCTGTCGGTGTTGTTGTTGTTGGTGTTGTCATGATTGATGATGCTGCCAATCTCGCCAGAATCGCCATCAAAGCGACCGGCTGCAGCAGCAATGATATTGCCGTTGTCGTCAGAATCGCCATGAAAGGGACCGGCAGCAGCAGCAACGATATTGCCGTTGTTGTCATTATTGTTGATGTTGTTGTTGTTATTGTTGTTGTTGTTGTTTCTGTTGATGCCGATGCATGGACATCCTGCCACTTGTGTAGGTGTTGCGGGTGATGATGGCGAATCATCCTCTTCCTCCAGATCTAACTGATCATACCAGTGGTCCATGGACACGGCGCATAGTGGTTGCCCCTCCTCAAAGACTGTGTAGCAGTGTCGCATCAAAGTTGTCGCATGTTGCTGGTCAATAAACCTTGCCAAATAAGAAGTTGGCCCCTCCTCCAGCTTCGTAATAATGTGCACAAGGCTCTGCATCATGCTCTGGTGTGTGAGATATGGCATTGTGTTCCCCCCATCAGCCACCCGCCTCATCTCATCCACTTTCTGTCGGTGAAGGTCATGACTCATCTGAAGAAGCGAAAGCCACTGGGCGATGCCCTGAAGTAAAGCCTCAGTCGTGTCCATCGGCATCGTTGACCGTGTTGACCCCATTGACCTTGTCGCTGTCGTGGCAAAATCTCCCGTCCACGTCGTGGTCTTCAGTACGCTGGCGTTATTGCGTCCTCCAAATCCCATGTGGGGCTACCCACTTCAGCTGGTGAAAGTTGGGGCCGTGAACGCTCAAGTCGCGCGGCTATGGTCGCTCGAAGCGGCAACTGCGAGGTTTGTGCGGTGCCTGGCGGGCGGGCCTTGCCGTCCGCGGGCCGCAAGGCGCTAGCCTATTACATGCATGACTCGCACAACCTTTCCTTTTTTAAACAAATTTATGTTTGTTCCTCTATCTCTATCTCTTTAAAGGATGACCCGGGGGCTAAATCCCACTAGCGGGCTTTAGTCTTCCTCTGTGTGGCCGTGAGATGTTCAGATTGGATGGCAGAAACCAATGCGTACTCGAATCCAAGTCTGAACCCCTGATAGTGGGACTTTGCCCCAAGTGTCACATGAGATCTGGGTGGCCGATGGGACCCGGAACCTGGGGGCAGCAACGGCCGATGGGACCCGGAACCTGGGGGCAGCAACGGCCGATGCTGCCAAAAGGGGTGGTGGCGGGCCAGCACCGGCGGGAGGTAGAGCGGTGTGGGCGGACCGCTGGGACGCAGCCGGAGCGGCAATGTAGGGAGGAAGAAGGCGTCGAGAGCATCAGAGTGCAATGGTCGTCAAACACCACTGAGAGGGTCGCGCCCACCTGAGTCGTACCGCCACATACCCTGCGCATCCCACAAACGCTCACACACGCACACCCCGCACAACACGGAGAGGCATATGCACAGGGCGCACACACTTTTACGTACACGCATTGTTACGCACACTCGCTGAGGAGGTGGTGAAAGTCGGACGAAACAGAGTGGCACAGTCGTGCTTTTGTGTTTTCTATACAGTGAACATGACAACACGCACACATATACACACACAAGCAAGCACACACATGCACACATGTATGTGCACACACACACATGCACATTTATGAACACATGCATGCACGCGCACACACACACACACACACACACACACACACACACGCGCGCGCGCGCGCGCGCGCGCGCACAATGCACATGCACGGCATTCTGCTAAGATTTCAAAGTTGGTGTGAGTATGGAGGAGGGATGGATAGGGACTGGGAGGGAGTGGGAGGACAAAGGGAGGGGAGGAGAGGGGAGGGGGAAAGAGGGCGGAGGAAGGAGGGAAGAAGGGAGGGGTGATAATTGCAATCGATGATGATGATGATGATGACAGTCAATGATGGTGATAGTGATGATGACTGATGGTGATGATGATGAATAGATATGAAATGATGATGACTGTGATGATGATTGTGTTGATGACTACGATAATGGTTGTGATGATGTCGGATGATGACACTGATGAAGGATGATGAAGGGTGATAATCACGACGATGCCGGTTGGCAATAAATATATGTCACCGTCTCCTTTCTGGAGAGAAGGGACGTGTTTTACATGGAGACGTAGCGATGGCGTTCACTCAGCTTAGGCTTGGTGAGCGAAGGAGCCTCTCCCTTCGATGCTGCAACGAGATGATGGTGGAGTACATGGGAAGAATCGCACTCTTTGTGAAGAAATCGGCATTGAGGAAAGCGATCACTCCATCGGCGCGCACTTATTCAAACCCTCCATAGGTGCACTGGAAGTTTTTTGTTGAGAGAGAGAGAGAGAGTCACCATGTTAGTGCTCTTTTTTTTTTTCTTTTTCTCTTTTGTATGTTGGCCCTCCTACTGCAGCGTGTTGCCTGCATGTGGCTCTGACCAGTCTAGCATTTGTCGGGCATTATCTGACATGTATCTGCTTAGGTCATCAGTGCACTGTGGTACAAGCATGCTGATTTCCTTTTCTTTGGTTTTGTTTTTGGGTGGCGGGCAGACAAGTCAATCAAACGTGCTATGAGCCAAAAAAGGGGCAGGGGGGAATGCAATGATGCTCTAAACCTCACACCCTACATAGCTTTCCTTACAGAGTGGACGGAAAATGCGAAAGGGCCCAGAAATCACTTAGCCGGGGTGTGCCAAGGATTTTAGAATAAGATGGAGGTGGAGTTCCAGTTCGGGACAGGAATCCTCTGCGTTGGTTCCGGTTATGGTTAGGACGAAGGCGAGGTCGGGAAAGGGCAACGTCTCCTTCGTTCAGAAAGTGTCGGCGGGTCTCTTTGCAAAGCTCCTGTGCTTTATGGTGTCGTTTGCCCGGTCGGGAAGGTGCAGGAGTATGCGAAGGATCCCGACTATGGACACGCGCATGAAGACATGTCTCACATTCCTTAGAGCTAGAATCAGAAGGGGGGTAAGCGCGCGGCTCTCTTCGCTACCTCTGGATCTCCACGTGGTTTGTAATTGAAGCCTCTCTTCCCGAGACATTACTTCATGCTGGTAGTCCGAACTGAAACGGTATTCACCAATTCGTGGTAGCTGAGGCAGATCCCAGGGCTCGATCCCTAGTTCCCCAACTTACCTGTGTACAATACCTGCGTCA